ATACAGGGTATAATTGACACTGAACCTAAGAAAATAACTCTCTCCCCTATTTAGGTTATGTCAGATACTTAAATAAGTACATCAGTGTGAAGAAAGGCGGCATCGGTGGTATCTCTATGGTGCTTTTTGGTTATGTTGTTGTCAGCTACATTTGGAACTATCACCATTTGAGTAAGTAAAACCTTACTTTGTATGGTTGGGCACACTAGTGTAGTCTGTAGAACTATGGGGGTGGGGGGGTGATTTCAAAAACTGTTCCTGGAAGAGGAAGCAAAGTGAGAGAGAGTGCTTAACTTTCTTATTTATATATCGGAGAAATGCTGACAAGACACATACTAACAGATTGAGCATGGGACTAGGAGTAGGGAGCTAAATTCTAACCCTGCCTCTGCAGTTTTGTGACCGTCACTTAATAATTTTAACCTATGTAGAAAATGGGTATAATACTTGCCTGTCGGAAGTTGTGAAGATGAATTAGCCGTTTGGTAATATTTAGGAATTAAATAATTTACAAAATAGTACTTGTGCTAGTGGTGAACAAAGATTATCTCGCTGCTTTTATTGTCCAACAGTAGTCAAGAACTGCCTACTGTGTAGTGCAATCTTAGACTGTACTTTAAATACCTAAGTACTAAAAATGGTCTTTATGACTTCAGCAAACTGACTTGTTTTAATTTAAATGATGCAGAGCATGAGCGTTGGAGGAAGTATCATTGAAACATTAACTTACTGCAGCAATGCAAGTTGCAGCCCTGGACCTGGATTCAGCTGCTGGAACAACTTTTCCCGATGAAGGCATATAAGCCAGTCACACTGAATTCTGTACTGTTATAATTCCAGGCAGATTCTATGACCAATAAAATATGTACATTTAAGGTTGGTTGGTTTATGTAGCTAATATTCTTATTATTGTGAGACTTTCACTTTCTGGTGCTGAAAATTGTGTGCGTCTTCTTGCCTTTTTTCCCCTCTATATGGTAGGTACAATGAAGATGGTTAGAAAGCCTTTCGCCATTTAATAATAAATTGGTCTAATGTGCAGTGCAAATGACTAAGGATAAGACTGATTAATCTTTAACTATTTTACTGAGAAGTATTACCACTGTATAGGGTACCTCTACTTTAATGATCCCTTCACTTCAACCAAATTGGTGCAGACATTACTGGTCAGAACTTGTTTTAACAGGATTCTTACTGTTGCAAAGGAGAATTCAATTGTTTAAGATGCCAACAGACACTTCATAGTAGCCACAGATATCTAAAACTCATAATAATTTTCTTGTACAAAATTGTTTATTTGCCTTCTCTGTTTGTAACTTATCTGTAAAAGGGTTTTCCCTTACTGTCAAAAGAATATGCATGTATAGTCATTAGAATTCCATTCCTCCATGTTTTTCTCCCTTTATCTTATTGTCAATGTTCTGATAATTTTTTGGAAAATTGATCAAAGTAACAAATGTTGCATGTGGCTTACTCTGGATATTTAAGCCCTTCTGCACATCAAGTTAGTTGGAGTTGATCAAATGAGGGAACATCTTGGTTATGCCTGTTAAAGTAGCTTTCTTTAGGAAACTTAGCATGTTGTTGAAATGTGGAGCCTTAACTCTGCGTGGACTATTGATAGTTAACAATATGAAACTTAACAGAGGGTCCTGTGGCACCTTTGAGACTAACAGAAGTACTGGGAGCATAAGCTTTCGTGGGTAAGAACCTCACTTCTTCAGATGCAAGTAATGGAAATCTCCAGAGGCAGGTATATATCAGTGTGGAGATAACGAGGTTAGTTCAATCAGGGAGGGTGAGGTGCTCTGCTAGCAGTTTAGGTGTGAACACCAAGGGAGGAGAAACTGTTTCTGTAGTTGGATAGCCATTCACAGTCTTTGTTTAATCCTGATCTGATGGTGTCAAATTTGCAAATGAACTGGAGCTGGCCCATCCGACCTGAGGCTGTGGTTGGTGGACAGAAAGCCAGAGAACCCGCGACACGCCGGGCA